AGTTGAATGTTCACTGTTCAGTCTTGAGTGCGAGTGATGTATGTGTGAATCGATATGTGAGCAGCAAAATCCAACAAGAAAACAAATCCGTGAAAGAAGGGCAACGCTGGCAAACATCACCACCATAGTCTTCCTACGCCGAACGAGTTCCACACCAACGTGCATCAGCGAGAGTAAAACTAGGATCCTACTGTGGTCGCGATGGCCCCTCGCCAGCGAAAAAAAAAACTGCAGGTATGTTACTGGACATTCCCTGCTACCTAACTAGGTCTGTCGACGGCTTTCACCGCGTGCATGGGGAGATTACCCCCCCCCCCCCGGCGCCGGGCGCCATTTTGTCTCGCCCGTTCCTCGCCGCGTCCCATAACACGCCGGTGGTGATTGCCACTTGCACCTTACTCACTCACGTGATCGCTAACGGCGATTCAATATAGCATACATGATAAGAGTTTGCCCCCATCGCGCCCCAGGGGCGTCGACACCGGTCCGACTTTTTACGACTAGTCGGACCACTTTTTCGACTAGGCGGTGCCCTGCTGTGGCTCGCGGGGGCCCCTGCTGCAGACCGCGGGGGCCCTACTGCGGCTCGGGGGCCCTGCTAGAGACCGCGGGGGCCCTGCTGCGCCTCTGGGGCCCTGCTAGACACCGCGGGGCCCTGCTGCGGCCCGCGGGGTCCCCTTCTGCGGCCGCGGGGGGCCCCTGTTGGGGCTCTCGGGGGGCCCTGCTGCGGCCACGGGGGCCCCTGCTGCGGCAACGGGGGCCCCCGCTGCGGCTCGCGGGGGCCCTGCTGCGCCTTCGCGGGGCCCTTCGCGGGGGCCCCCCACCGGTGGGGCCCTTCGCGGGGGCCCCCCACCGGTGGGGCCCTTCGCGGGGGCCCCCCACCGGTGGGGCCCCCCGAGAAAAAGTCGGACCAGTTTTCCTTACGCGTCGACGCCCCTGTCGCGCCCCCCCCCCCCCCTAGCCGAGGCCGGGCGCCGTGCGCCACATTACTGACCATAACGAGCCCCACACTGACTGCAATCAGGTGTCTCACCACCTGCAATGTGCCTGGGGAGCAGCTCACCCCGGTGTGATTTGCTCAGTGTATGAACCTGTGACTTTCTGTACATTTATCTTGTGCCCGGCCAACCAGGATGACCTCCTCTTCCGTACCTACAATGGTTCTTTCCACCAATGTCATTGCTTGCCTGGCCCCAGTCATTGACGTTTCTTAGCCTGCCATGCATTTTTAGCCCTATATACTCTTTGCTTGCCTGGCATCAGTATTGATGTCCATGGCCTACGCCCAATGCCCTGTCGCCCTGACGCCATCTTGGCGGGTCCGACCAGCCATAGCGTGATCGTGACGTCAGCTCTACGTGGCACTTCCAACGCTGGTAGCGCCGCGGGCGGCGGCAGCAACAATAGCTACTGATGGTCACGTGGTTGCCAGCGGCGCAGGCGCGGGCGTGTGACACTTGACCGTCCTCCGCACCGGGGGGGGGGGGGCGGCCGGGTGACTCATCCGGCGTGACGTCAGCTGCCCTTGAAAAGGCCATGACGGGCCTGTGGCCGGCGGTCGGACTGCCGTTGATCGGGGGTGTTGCCTTTCACCGGTCTGCAGCGGACCGACTGGGGGTCAGGTCACTGCTGGCAATGTGCCACACTGTGGATGCACGTATGCCTGCTGCTATGCTGCATTGCCGCCATGAGCCTGTCCACCGACCGTATATACCTACACGGAACGCGCACCTACCTGACACCAGTTGGCAGCGCCAGACTGTGACGCAAAGATGCATTTCCGACCCGGCGCCAAGGCTGAGAAATAATAAGGGGTCGGCAGACACCCCCTCCGGCGACGCCTGTTTGCAGTAGTGGCCCTGTCCCATCCCCTCACCTGTCCACTTAGACTCCCCTACAGACATCAAGGGCTGTTTGTGATAGCTGCATCTACACACATGCACGGCTGTCCGCGATAGCCCCACCTACAAACAGGCACGGCTGTCCGCGATAGCCTCACCTACAAAAAGGCACGGCTGTCCGCGATAGCCTCACATGCCGACATGACATGCACGGCTGTCCGCGATAGTCTCACCTGCAGACGTGCGTGGCTGTCCGCGATAGCCTCACCTGCAGACATGGACGGCTGTCCGCGATGGCCCCACATTGTCACACGTCAGGCTGTCCGCGATGGCCTCACCTACAAAAAGGCACGGCTGTCCGCGATAGCCTCACCTGCAGACATGCACGGCTGTCCGCGATAGCCTCACATACCGACATGCACGGCTGTCCGCGATAGTCTCACCTGCAGACGTGCACGGCTGTCCGCGATAACCTCACCTGCAGACATGCACGGCTGTCCGCGATAGCCTCACATACCGACGATAGTCTCACCTGCAGACGTGCGCGGCTGTCCGCGATAGCCTCACCTGCAGACATGGACGGCTGTCCACAATAGCCTTACATGCCGACATATACAGCTGTCCGCGATAGTCTCACCTACAGACGTGCGTGGCTGTCCGCGATAGCCTCACCTGCAGACATGGACGGCTGTCCGCGACGGCCCCACATTGTCACACGTCAGGCTGTCCGCGATAGCCTCACCTACAAAAAGGCACGGCTGTCCGCGATGGCCCCACATTGTAACGTCAGGCTGTCCGCGATAGCCTCACCTACAAAAAGGCACGGCTGTCCGCGATAGCCTCACCTGCAGACATGCACGGCTGTCCGCGATAGCCTCACCTGCAGACATGGACGGCTGTCCGCGTTGGCCCCACATTGTGACACGTCAGGCTGTCGGCGATAGCCTCACCTAAAAAAGGCATGGTTGTCCGCGATAGCCTCACCTGCAGACATGGCCGGCTGTCCGCGATGGCCGCACATTGTAACACGTCAGGCTGTCCGCGATAGCCCTACCTACATACATGCAAGGCTGTCCGAGACCTCACCTCCAGACATGCACGGCTGTCCGCGATAGCGAGGATAAGAAAGGCACGGCTGTCCGCGATAGCCTCACCTGCACACATGCACATCTATCCGCGATAGTCTCACCTGCAGACGTGCACGGCTGTCCGCGATAGCCTCACCTACAAAAGGCACGGCTGTCCGCGATAGCCTCACATGCCGACATGCACGGCTGTCCGCGATAGTCTCACCTGCAGACGTGCTCGGCTGTCCGCGATAGCCTCACCTGCAGACATGGACGGCTGTCCGCGATAACCCCACATTGTAACACGTCAGGCTGTCCGCGATAGCCTCACATGCCGACATGCACGGCTGTCCGCGATAGTCTCACCTGCAGACGTGCGTGGCTGTCCGCGATAGCCTCACCTGCAGACATGGACGGCTGTCCACGATGGCCCCACACTGTAACACGTCAGGCTGTCCGCGATAGCCTCACCTACAAAAAGGCACGGCTGTCCGCGATAGCCTCACCTACAAAAAGGCACGGCTGTCCGCGATAGCCTCACCTGCAGACATGCACGGCTGTCCGCGATAGCCTCACCTGCAGACATGGACGGCTGTCCTCGATGGCCCCACATTGTAACACGTCAGGCTGTCCGCAATAGCCTCACCTACAAAAAGGCACGGTTGTCCGCGATAGCCTCACCTGCAGACATGGCCGGCTGTCCGCGATGGCCCCACATTGTGACACGTCAGGCTGTCCGCGATAGCCCTACCTACATACATGCAAGTCTGTCCGAGATAGCCCCACCTATAGACATGCCCGGCTGTCCGCGATAGCCTCACCTCCAGACATGCACGGCTGTCCGCGATAGCGAGGCTACAAAAAGGCACGGCTGTCCGCGATAGCCTCACCTGCAGACATGCACGGCTGTCCGCGAGTCTCACCTGCAGACGTGCACGGCTGCCCGCGATAGCATCACATGTAGACATGGACGGCTGTCCGCGATGGCCCCACATTATGACATGTCAGGCTGTCCGCGATAGCCCTACCTACATACATGCAGGGCTGTCCGAGATAGCCCCACCTATAGACATGCCCGACTGTCCGCGATAGTCTCACCTCCAGACATGCCCGGCGTTCCGCGATAGCGAGGCTACAAAAGGCACGACTGTCCGCGGTAGCCTCACCTGCAGACATGCACATTGCACGCTGTCCGCGATAGTCACACCTGCAGACGTGCACGGCTGTCCGCGATGGCCTCACCTGCAGACGTGGACGGTTGTCCGCGATGGCCCCACATTGTGACAGGTCAGGCTGTCCGCGCTACCCCCTGCCTACATACATGCAGGGCTGTCTGCGATAGCCCCACCTAAAAAAATGCCCGGCTGTCCGCGATAGCCCTACCTACATACATTCAGGGCTGTCCGCGATCGCCCCACCTACGTACATGCAGGGCTGTCCGCGATAGCCCCGGGCCGTCCACGATAGCCCCACATCCATCCATGCAGGGCTGTTCGCGATAGCCCCACCTGTAGACATGCCCGGCTGTCCGCGATAGCCCCCACATTGTGATACACCAGGCTGTCCGCGATTGCCCACTTAGACATGGAGGCTGTCCGCATAACCCACCTGGTCACCTACGGCTCTCGTGACCATTCACTGCCGTTCACTGTGATCTCACAGTCTGGCTCTCGCCAAAAAACTATCCGTTAGGCGCTCCACAATTAACACCCTCAGTGGGGTGGCCCGTTACACATCCTTTAGCCTGTAAGTACCAGTGCCCGATATGTACTTACGACAACTACAGAATGCCACCATACACTTTGAGTTGTGCTGCCACCAGGTGGCAGTGCACCCTGCACCTGGCCTGTCGCTGGGGCTGGGCGGTAACCTAACATAAATGTTCACTCCACAGCTAGTTCGGCCCGCCAGCCCAGCCGGCTCGCCATTCGCCACCAACTGCGACTTCTCTCTTCCCGTTTATTATCCAGGCGACAGACGGCCGCGCCCCCTCCGCCTCCACCCACTGCCAGTGAACCCGCTCTCGTGTCAAGGCCGGCTACGGCAGCCGACACCGACAGCCGTGGCTCTCCCGCCGACGCAGACATCTCGGTTAGTTCGGGCGGATGCTTCCCGAGACCCGGCCGTCGACCGTCCATCGCAGGCCGCGCCACCGCCGGGCCGGCAGGTCTCCGCCAAGCTTCCCGGCCTGCGGATCCCCCACACCGGAGGTGGTCACATTCGTCTGAGAACCGCGGCCGCCGCCGACGGAGGCGCAGTCCCAGCAGCTCCGGCCTCTCCGTATGGTCCGACTCCGAACCCTCGCGTTCTGCGGGCGAGCCGTCGCCGTCCCGCCGCCCAGAGCAACGGAGTCATAAGCGCCCGCGGACAGGCGGCAGCCGGGGCCACCCCACCTGATACTCAAGAATCATACTAGTACATTTTCAGTGGACCACACTGCAGTACGCACCACTAACGGACCATCCGACTCTGCAGGCGGGCGCTCCGCCGCAGCAGCACCGGCTCGACCTGAGCCGGCAGGAGGCTCAGCCACAGCCGGCTCGGCTGCAGGGGGCTCAGTCCCCATCATCGACACTGTCACTGTCCCCGTCGCCGTCATCGACACTGTCACTGTCCCCGTCGCTGTCCTGCCGGTCACATCGGTGACGAACGTTTCTGACGTGCCATGGGACCCCATCGACCTCGACTACCTGTCGCGACACCAAGCCCGTCACCGTCCCGCGCCGTGACATATCTGTGCAGCGTGTCCCACGTCGGCGCACCCACACCCTGTCCCCCACTCTGAGACGCGCCCCGTCAGATACAAGTGGGGGTGATCCCACAGCCTCCGTGGCGTCAGATAGCGGCGGCCTAACACGACACCGGTCGTCAGACACGAGTGAGTGCCGCTCGCTAGCTTCAGCGGCGTCAGACGGCGCGGACCGAATACAATCCCGCACGGTGTACTGATACACCCCGGATGCCGGGGCGGACTCTGCCGTCACTCCATCGCGCGGGGTCACGTTGTAAATGTGAACCGCTTCGGCCACGGTACACTGGCGCCTCGCGGCGATGACTTTGATTGTCCGATGGCACCGCTCCACCACACCATTCCCGCCTGGCTCGTGGACAGCTCGGAATCTGAGAGCCACTCTCCACCGCGCCGTGAGCACAGCCATATGTCGGCCACGGAACACCGTGTCATTGTCTGTCAGGATCTCCTCAGGGGCTCCGCGCTCGAGACATAGCTGCTCTAGGTGGCCAACGATCTCGTTGGCGTTGGCGCGACGCAGCGAGCGCCACACGCAGAAGCGCGATGGCCCACAGTCAATGACGGTGAGGTAGTTCTGTCCGCGGTGATGGGTGACGTCAATGGATATGCGCTGCCACGGGACAGACACGCCGAGCGAGCCATGTCTCCACCGCACCGGGGCCGGGTCAATCGAGCGGCACGCGTCACAGTTCTCCACCACTGCACGAGCCATAGCCCGGGTGACGTCACGCGACACATCACGGCGGGCAAAGTACAATGTCCGACGGACACCGGGGTGGCCGGCCCGATCGTGTGACTGGCACACGGCTGCACGGAGCTCGTCCGCCGTACCGCTGTCGGCACGCCCAGCGGCGGCACCGGCCAGAGGCGGCGGCTCGGAGACGACCGCCGCACTGACTCCGGGCGATGGAGACTCGCACTCTCGAGTCACACTCACGTTACGAAGCCAGTCTTTGGGGACTCGCGTCAGTGCGTCAGCTCGGTTCTCAGCCGACCGCACGAGCATCACCGACAGTCGTAGCCGCAGCTCACCGACCAGCTGACAGATGATCCCCACACGTCGCCGAATCATCAGCTCACCGTGCGCCTTTGTTCTGAGGCGCGCGGCCGCTGATGGCGTCATCAAGCCAGCAATGAACCGTGGCCGAGTCGGTGCGGAGATCGATTGTCCGCGCTCCCCAGGCGACAGCCAGGTTGACGCCTCGGATGGCGGCGTCCAGCTCGGCCATGTTGATGTGCGTGGCCTCATTATGTCTTAGCCAGCACGCGTCCTCGATGACGTCACCGTCCGCTGACTCCAGCACGACTCCGGTGGCCAGGGAGCTGGCGTCCGTCCAAACAGCCATGGCGTCACCCTCAACGCACCACGTGCCGCGGGCTGGGTCGTCACCATTCAAGCGGCCTGCAACATAGTCCAGCTGAGCACGCAGCGCTGCGTCATCGGTGACGTCATCCCACGCCCGAGTACATCCTTTTGGCGGTCCTTTGGCGTCTTTCAGCTACGCAAGAAGGAATCGGCAGACACAGACACCTGGGCGAGCGAGGAGGGGAAGTCGAGACCGTGTTTCCGCCAAAAAGAGAAAACAACCAAGGTAGGTGGTAGGTAACTACACCTGCGCTATCTACATCAGCTGCCCCGCATGACACTAATGGGACCGTATTAGAGCCGGCGATAATCACGGAACATTAGTGTCGGGGCAGACTGCGGCGGGGCAGACTGCGGCGACCCCTAGGAAGAACAACTAGGGAGAACAACATTCGACAGATGGCAGCACTAGACGAGATAATCAGGCAATACTTTAATATTAATGGGAAAGAAATCATGCCAATGTTTGCCCTCACCAAGCATGTTACCACGACAATGGAAGAATGTAGTGTAGTACCCCTCCCCGGGCCCGCCGCGGGCTGGCAGCGGCGGCCGGAGCCGGTCCGACCTTTGGCCGGCCGGGTCAGGTAACCGGGACGGCCGCGCCGCGGCGCCGCGCCCGGGCCGGCCGGGAGACGGAGTCGGGCGCGCGTCGGCAAGGGCGCGGGGCACATTAGTCGAGTTGAATGTTCACTGTTCAGTCTTGAGTGCGAGTGATGTATGTGTGAATCGATATGTGAGCAGCAAAATCCAACAAGAAAACAAATCCGTGAAAGAAGGGCAACGCTGGCAAACATCACCACCATAGTCTTCCTACGCCGAACGAGTTCCACACCAACGTGCATCAGCGAGAGTAAAACTAGGATCCTAACACACCCACCCACCGCCCCACCGTCACCCCATTCCTTCCCAAGTCTCCTTCCCCTCCGCTCGGGGCGTCTTTCAGCTACGCAAGAAGGAATCGGCAGACACAGACACCTGGGCGAGCGAGGAGGGGAAGTCGAGACCGTGTTTGCGTCTTTCAGCTACGCAAGAAGGAATCGGCAGACACAGACACCTGGGCGAGCGAGGAGGGGAAGTCGAGACCGTGTTTCCGCCAAAAAGAGAAAACAACCAAGGTAGGTGGTAGGTAACTACACCTGCGCTATCTACATCAGCTGCCCCGCATGACACTAATGGGGAGGTCGCAAAATTGACCTGACCTTAGGTCATCGATATCAAAATTCTGAGATAAACATTTTGTACATGCTATTGCTCTTAGCAATCGCTGAAAGTTTCAAAGCGATCGGTCACTCGGTGTAGCTATGACAGACATTGAAACTTTTTATGAGGTGAGGTCACTTCAAGTGACCTGGTGACCTGACCATGAATGACCTTGGTGAGACATAAAGGTTGCAAGGTCTCGGAAGAATATGGAGTCCTGTGAGTTTTATTTATCTGCAGAAGTTGACCTAGCAATGGCGGAGTTGCCAAGCCGCAATATTTTGGGACCGAGTGAAGTCTTTTATGACGTCATAGGTCAGTGACTCGACAAGAATCAAAAATGTAATTGGTCGTTGGTGTCACCAGAGAATCGGCTTGAATCAAGTCAGGTCCGCTAATTTTCAGCTTTCAGGTTTCCTTGTTGGGAGCAATCGCAAGAAGTCTGGGGTAGGTATAGTTCGTTTTTTCTAAGTTCGTCCCTCACTGTAAACGTCTTATTGAACACAGCACGAGAATTGGTAGCTGAATTACTGAGAAAACTCGTTGGCGCACAGTGATTTCGCAAACGATCAATTGTATCAAAATTATTTCTACCTGGCTCCTTTTTCCCAGACTCGCAGCCCGGTATTTGCAACCTCACAAGGATCGAAGACTTGTCAGGAAGTATAACCGAACTAATTAGTAAATCGCACGGCGTTTAACGTAACAGTATATAATCGGTGTTAGAAACTTATTGGAGGTAAGCTATGGTATTTCTGAGCATGATTAATAATGTAAATAGAGTGAATAACCTTATGCTCATGTTATTGTTGGGATATTGTGACCACGGACCGGCCGCCGTGTGGGGCCGTGGAACAGGATGGGTCGGCGGCCCGGCCGTCCGGCCGGCGAGCCGCCTGACCGCCGCGCGGTCACCGCGCATGCGCTCTGTGCCGTGGTTATATAAGGGCGCGACCGTGACCGGACTGGGTCAGTCGGCGGGTCGCCGTGTCCGTGCTTGGTCGTCGGTCGCTGGAAGCACAATACACCGTGTCGTGGTATATGCAGCTTTATTTGGCCCTAACATATTTTGGCGCGGTCGGTAGGACCAATAACGTAAATGGGCTGCATATGAATTTTTAAGAAAGAAGATTGCTGTGAGAGTTCTGTGACGGCCTACGCAAGCTCACGGTGGAAAAGGTGGACGGAGCCGGTGAGTAGAGACTTCGGGTGATGAGAGGTTGTCTCCAGTAGAGTTCAGTATAACAAACTATGGATTTATCTACCATTTTCCTTTCAAGAGCCTCGAAATTTAGTGGAGAGTCGGGGGAAGTGTGGCAGAAATGGTTCCGCCGATTTGAAGCTCAGACGGCGAGCATGAAAGCCGGGGACCGGCTGGCTGCTATGGTGGGTCTTTTGGACGGAGTCGCACTGGACACATCCGCGTCACTCACCGAAGAGTCACGGAAGGACTACGGCAGGGTGGTTGAAGCACTGGAAAGTCGGTTCGGTCGGCAAATAAGCACGTTGCAGGCTCATGCCGAACTCAACCGAGTTTGCCAGTCACCTTCGGAGTCTATTGAAGACTTCTCAGCCAGGATCAGAGAGCTGAGTGGGCTAGCCCAGCCGGCTCTGCCCAGCGACCACAGCGCTATGGAGGGATTCCAGTGCGGCCGATTCATCTGTGGCCTCCGTGACACGCAATTGCAAGACAGGTTAATCAGCCAAAACGTATCCACACTGACTGACGCGGTACGCGTTAGTAAAGAATTCGAGGAGACGAGGAAGACGATCAAGGCAGTGCGAAATCATGAGATCGACGTCATCGGGGCGATCCGCCCGGTCGGGGGTGAAGCAACCGTGGGTCAAGCAGAAAAGACTGTGACGGACAACAACCGGCTCACAGCCATCGAAGATCATATTCGTGGGCTACACGAGTCGATATCGGCCATCACAATGGCGCCGAAGACGACAACTGATGCGAGTAAGTCTCGCCGACTTCCCCGGTGCTACCGCTGCGAGCAGCCGGGTCATTTTCAGCGAGACTGCGTCGAGCGTAGCCGTGGTTCACCTAGCGTCAGATGCTTCGGCTGTAGAGAATTGGGTCACCTCAAGCGACACTGCCCCATTTCATTGCCGTCGACAAGGGATGGGCGCGCGCTGCCGCTCTGCTTATGTTGTGGGCAGCAGGGCCACTGGATGGCGGGGTGCCAATACTTCCAGGGTGGCAGCAATGGCGGAGGCCACTCCGAGACGAGAGCTGCTGATGCCCGGCGGGGCGCTGGTGCGCATCAGGAAAACTGAACCGGACTGGAGCCGTGGGACAGGTCCCAGTCCTCTCTAAAGCGTCCCCACTCACGGCGTCGGCCGTTCGGGTCGTCATTCACGGCGCTCCGACATGGGCGCTGGTGGACACTGGTGCCGACTTCACCATGATGCGAAGAGGATTTTATGAGGGGAACCCAGCACTAAGAACAATCCGGCTCAGCCCGAGCTCGCGCAATGCTATCGGAGCGGGAGGTACCTCCCTCCAGATAGTTGGTGAGTTGGAAAACCTCTCATTATGCATTGATGGAGTCAGCTTCCGATGCCCGGTAGTGACCGTGGCAGGCGACCTCGTGTACGACGTGATACTAGGTCGCGACTTCACGTGCATGCATCGCACGGTCATTGACGACGACACTGGCTCATTCAAGATTGGAACCATGAGCGTTCCCCTGCCAAGCCGGGAGCAGGTTCGACCAAGACGTGCGCGAGTGCGATTACTGTCGAACGTCGTCATTCCAGCACGGTCAGAGTGCGTGGTAGCTGGTAAGCTGGAGAGAGTGGACGGCGTGCAGAGTGATGAAATGGGTGCAGCCGGGATATTCGAGCCATCGACCGTAGCGGAGCGGGAGGGACTCCTGACTCCAAGGGCTCTGGTCGTTGCAGATGACGACGGGTGCGTCTCGATCATCTTGACAAATGTTGGGTCTGAAGAAGTCCGTGTTCTCAGAGGCAGTGACCTAGGGACATTTTATGATGCCACAAACGAGAAGGACTGCGAGTACAAGTTGTGCCTGGCTGCAGACGGAGGCGTTGGGGACATTGATGATGATGACGTTGATGATGTGAGCTGCAGAACAGAAAGGCGTCAGAATACGACGGTGACAGAAGTACTTGATGTGGACGGATCTGACTTCTCAGCGGAAGGAAAGGAGAAACTTAGAACCATTCTCAGCGAATATGCAGACATCTTCAGTCAGTATGCGGGTGATATCGGCAAGACAGATTTGCTCGAACACCACATCGACACAGGGGAGGAGGCTCCCGTGAAGCAGAGACCACGGCGGGTACCAGTTAAACTCCGCGAGCAAGTCGAGATGCAGAAGACGCAGATGATGAAAGATGGAATAATTGAAGAGAGTACAAGTCCGTGGTGCTCTCCAGTCGTCCTGGCCAGATAGAAAGATGGAAGTTTCCGCTTCTGCGTCGATCTCCGCGCGATCAACAGCCGAACTCGCGGATGTGCGCATCCTCTGCCGAGGGTCGACGAGGCGTTGGATACCCTAGCGGGGGCAACGTGGTACACGACGCTCGACATGGCGACCGGTTACTGGCAGGTCCCGCTGGCCACAGAGGACCGAGAAAAGACGGCGTTCTCCACGGGCAAAGGACTCCATCAGTTCAGGGTGATGGCCATGGGTCTCAAAAATGCTGGAGCCACATTCCAGCGATTCATGGAACTGGTGCTTGCGGGTCTGGACTCGAAACGCCGTTAAGTCTACCTTGATGACATCATCATATCAAGCAGATCCGCGGACGAGCACATCGCAACGCTCCGTGATGTCTTCAAGCGAGTGAGGTCGGCGAAGCTGAAGCTCAAACCAGAAAAGTGCCGCCTCGCAAAGCGCGAAGTTACGTTCCTCGGTCACCGGGTCGCAAAGGAGGGACTCCTACCGGACCCACATAACATCCAGAAGATACTCGACTGGGCTCCACCGAAGACGGAAGATGACATGAAGAGCTTCCTCGGATTGTGCGGATATTACAGCCGTTTTGTCCCACAATACATGGATCTCACGAAGCCGCTGAGGGAAGCCAAGGTGGTGGGTGACCACCTGACGTGGACACCGGAAGCTGAAGCAGCTTTTGAGAGTCTGAAGCAGGCGCTGACTGCACCTCCGGTGTTAGCCCTCCCTACGTTCCGTGGTACATTCGTCTTGTACACGGATGCATCCGACTCTGCAGTCGGTTCAGTGCTCGCGGAGCGGGTGGGTGACACGGAGAGAGTCATCGCCTACGACAGTAAGGTGCTGACAAAGCAACAGCGCAGATGGCCAACATATGATAAAGAACTCTGGGCCATCGTTCACGCCATCCGGCGGTTCAACCAGTACACAGTTGGAGCAGAATTCGAAGTCGTGACCGATCACAAACCACTCACGGGTGTACCGGAGTCCATCAATGTGGAACGTGACGGGACAGGAAGGCGTGGCCGGTGGGCCATCGAGCTGAGCTCTTACCAGTTCCGGGTGGTTGTCCGGCCGGGCCGGGATCACGGCAATGCCGATGCGATGTCCCGGCAGCGACCAGTCAACGGCAATCTCTGGACGGGCAAGCGCAGCAAGTCTTGTCCCGCCGAAGCCGGTCAAGCACCCGTGCATACCGCAGCTACAAGAACCCAAGAACCTGCTTCTGGTGAAGAGGAGGAATGTGTGGGGAAGACTCGAGGCGCAGCAGAACTTGGCCAAGTCTGCGCACTGCCTACTGCGCTACGTAGTGCGAAGGATGACCAGGCGGGACGCCTAATCACTGAAGCACCAGGACAATCGGAGTTGCAGACGGCGCAACAAGAGGACGAGGTCCTCAGTGTCATGCGGAACGCCTGTCTGGGCAGTCGGGAACCACCGCCCGATCACCCTCTCGCCGAGTGGGAGCTACTGCGTGGGAGCTGGACGCAACTCGAAGTGAGGGAGGGCGTTCTCGGCATGAGGACGAAGTGGGGCTTCCGGGCCCTGGTCCCCGATTCGATGCGATCAAGAATCATGATGCTCGCCCATGACCATCCGACGTCCGCACACTTGGGACGGAGCCGAACAACGGAAAGAGTGCGACAGCGCTTCCTCTGGCCCGGCATGTTCGCGGACATCCGTCGGTACTGCAGCACGTGTGACCTTTGCCAACGGCGCCATCGCCCTGCACCGAAGAAACGGGCTCCTCTGGTGACGGAGGTCACGAGTCAACCATTCCGCAGAATTGCGATTGACATCACTGAGATGCCGGTGTCGGATAATGGCAATCGATATGCAGTAGTCATCATGGACTATTTTTCTAAATACGTCCGAGTGTACCCAGTCAGACGGCAGGATGCCGAAACCGTAACCACGGTACTGTTGGATTGGGTTTACGACATGGGGGTGCCAGACAGAATTCACTCGGACCAAGGAGGCCAATTTGAGTCTGCATTGTTCCAGTGCATGTGCAAGCGACTGGGCATCCAGAAAACACGTACAACGCCCTATCACCCTGAGAGTGATGGTATGGTAGAGCGTTTTATGAGAACACTCAAGGACATGGTCGCCAAATACGTTGACCCTCAAGGAGCGAACTGGGACGCTGACATCAAGGCGTACTGCATGGCCTACAACACCTCTGTGCACAGCGTCACCGGATATTCCCCGTTCTTTCTGCTGCACGGATTCCACCCGAAAACGCCACTCGATGCGGTCATCAACCCTCCGGATCGGGCGGTAAATATCCGGTGCTACCTTGAAGAGCGTCTTAAGGCCATTTCAGAGGCTTATCAGACGACTATCAGGAAAACCCGGGCCAGTGTCACGGAGGCTGCGACCCGATTCAACCAGCGCGCGAGCGGAAAAGGGTTCGAGGCTGGTGACCGGGTATGGATCCGGGATAATAGGGTCTCGGTCGGCGGGAAGCCGAAACTGGGACTGTACTACAAAGGCCCGGGCACCATCATCGGCCGCCTCGGAGGAGAGAGAGGAGTAACGTACCTCGTCCGTGACGACAAGGGCAAGGAAAAGGCTCTGCACTTCAACCAGCTAAAGCCAGCTGTGGAACGGGAGTCCCACAAACAGGAAACGTCTGGAAGCACCCGGAGGGACGACGCATCGGACACAGCCACAGAAACGCGTCCCAGGAAGCAGACGGGGTCCGAGGAGACTGGACCGGATCCACTGGCGTTGTACTACCTCTGCCGGCGGGCCCGAGATCAGGTGGGGAATGGGGGTACATCTGTGCGGGGCGCGTATGTGACCAGGTCTGGCAGAGTGTCGCTCCCCCCAGATCGTTTTCAATCCTAGGCCTCGGATGCTCTTGATGTGCATCACCAGTGTCTGAATCAGTTTGTATTTCCGGTCGCGTTCCGGTCGCGTAGTGTATCGCGTTTCTTTGTTACTTGACCAAGTGGAAACGTTTCTTTTATGGGGGGAGGAGTGTTGGGATATTGTGACCGCGGACCGGCCGTGTGGGGCCGTGGAACAGGATGGGTCGGCGGCCCGGCCGTCCGGCCGGCGAGCCGCCTGGCGAGCCGCCTGACCGCCGCGCGGTCACCGCGCATGCGCTCTGTGCCGTGGTTATATAAGGGCGCGACCGTGACCGGACTGGGTCAGTCGGCGGGTCGCCGTGTCTGTGCTTGGTCGTCGGTCGCTGGAAGCACAATACACCGTGTCGTGGTATATGCAGCTTTATTTGGCCCTAACATTATATGTTGCAAATTGATATAATTAAAACTAAATTGATATATTTCGATATTGCACCGTCATCAGAATAAGAATGTGAAAGAATCATTCTTATTCTGATGCCGGTGCAATATCGAAATATATCAATTTAGTTTTAATTATATCAATTTGCAACATATAACATGAGCGTAAGGTTATTCACTCTATTTACGTTAGAAACTTATTTTGAAAATATTAGTTCATATATCTCCAATACAAAGTGCGCTAGCCAGTTTTCTCAGTAATTCAGCTAGCAATTCTCGTGCTGTTTCCAAAAAGATGTTTACAGTGAGGTTCGAACTTAAAAAAAAACGAACTATAACACCCGTTACCCTCATCTATGGAAAATTATGCTTTTGCGGAGCGACCTTCAAAGCTAGTGCGCCCCATGCACTGTCGTGTTTTCAGCTTGCTGTCGGTTTTCCAATATATGGAAGCCAGTTACAGGCGTCTCTTAGTCTCTCATTGGTCAATCGCACACACCACGTGTGGTTCATCAACGACCAATGAGAAGATGAGAAACGCCAGCAAACTGACAGCATGCTGATTTGGTGATCAAACAGCGCCCTGACCACACCCCTCCCATCTATCGCTGACACCCTGCTCGGTAACTCGTCTCGAGACGTGACTGAGCCAGGCCCTTCGACCGGTTACCGCCGCCGGCATAATTCCGCCTGATTCCGATCCGACTGCACCGCTGGACACCACACTGTGGCAAGCGACTCCGCTGTCAGACTCGGGCCGAACGCACCCCCTCCCCTACCCCCACTCCAGCTGTGGCGAGGGTGAGGGTATTCACCGCATCAAACCTACAGGCCGCCTGGACCCTTATCTTGAGACCAATAGTACAGTAGGTCTATTAAAAAAGTCCCCAGCACCAGTGGGCGCTGCCTTCGCTGAGCCGAACCCCCGTCTGCCTGTCCCGTATCGCGCCGGTATCAGGTCAGGTAGGGTCAGCGGGACCGCTCGGCCCGGCCCGCGGGCGGTGGACGGGCGGCCGGTAACGCTTTCCGCCAGCCAGCTGTAGAATCCAACAAACGGGACGGCCACCGCTCAGCGCAGCGAAACCGGTGTTGAAGAATGGCAGTAGATGTTCATGGCCACAATGATTTTGAGAAAGACATTGTTAGCCCGTGCCCCACAGGAATGCCTAGACTCTCACGCCCTGTTGGAGGGAAAATGGGGATTGAGCATCATTCTTATAATTCAGCTTTGGGCATTTAAGTGGCATTCGAAGTAGCGTCAAAAGTAGCAAAAAGAAGAAATATACTTCAGCCAATTTTAGATCGGGTCAGAGCCAGAGGTCATGTCACCAGAGGTCATCGGTGGTAAAAATTTGCTTGGACAGGGTGCGTTGCGCGCACCGGTGCATTGGGTTTCCAGTTTCCATGGAAACATCAACAGACTCGGAAGCTCGCAACGCTAGCGTGGAGCCGAATTCATATCAACCCCCGCAACAATGCAGCAGCGCAGCGCAGCGTGCTGCAACGCGGGGCCGTGAAACACCGCCCAGGGCTATCCATGTGTCAGGGCAATCCAACCCACGTGATGGGCTCGGCCCCAGCAGAGCATGAGGTCCAGGACTCCCGCCCAGGCCCCCTGTCTCCCCTAATTCCTGTCATCCTTCCCACTCTGAAATCGACCGAGCCTAACCTAACACAACAATGAGCTCGTTTACCGCTATGTCTGAATAATATTGTCAGATTTAATAAAGGTGAACGGCTTAGCACGTAAATAACAGCAACTGCCACCATCGGTATTATGAGAAAACCAATTGCTTTTCCACAAACACTTAAAAGTTTTTAGCTTAAAACTTGCTTGAAATTAATTTTACCAGCCTCGTGTTCCTCTTATTAAAGGTGGCAAAATGTGGACCCGAGGATCCGGTCCAAAGAACCAGTCTGGACCCATATGGGTCCAGACCGGTTCCTGGAAATTTTCTGACGGGTCCAACTGGGTCCTACCATAAACTTTACATCTCGCACACTACACATTATTGCAAAATATGAAGTGAATGAAGTGAATGTTTCTTTACACAC